CTCCCCTATGACCTGACGGAATCCTCGATCCCATGCCATCTGTAAGCCCTGCATAATACCCCATAGCTCCGCGCCCGTGATGGTGTTAGCGCCGATATTCATAATAAAACCCTCTATCCACTTCCCTTGCGGGTCTCGAAGCAAGCCACCCGCTCCACTAAGGCCCGTAGAGCTGTCATAAGTCCCGTCTGTATTAGCTTTTATCCATCCTGGGTCCGGTGGTTTCCAGCGAATCATACGTAACACATAAATGTCGGCCCCCAAACGTCTATATGCTTCACACGCTCGAGCATACGACTCAACATTGGCGAGAACCTCCAGCCGCCTACCATCACAGGACATGACGTGGGAATTAAATTTCTCCACTTCCACGAGTTTCACACAGTGAAGGCGAAGAGACAACTCCAGTCATCATACGGGCCCACGCGATGGATCGAGAGATTACGACACAATCAAGTTTGGAGAGGCTGGCTGAAAAACTCGACAAGTTCCCCTGCCGGGATCAAGAGTTTCCAAAGGCTCGTTGTTCCAGGGCACTCTCTCAGCACGTGAAGAACCGACTCCTCCGCGCCACAATCGTCACATGTCGCCGAGCTAGAGATATGTCGCCTAACCCTTTCCAAATTAGTCAGCAAGCGGTCCTTTGCCGCCAGCCACAAAAAAGTACGGATCCTCTGTGGGGCTGGTGACCGCCACACCACCTTCCAAATTATGCTTGTCGGGTCTTTTTCTATTGGGGCGATTGTCTGATATGCCGTTCTCGTAGAAAAGTTCCCATCATGAGACGAGCTCCACAAGATGCGGTCCTCTCCAGCTATGGATCTAGAAGGGAGATATCCAGCTATGCTCAAAATAAAGGTCGACGGAAGCAGCCTATGAAGAGATGCCCAATTCCAGCCTCTGTGCTCGTCAACGTAATCTGCGACCGTGGAGTTGATGCTAACCTCGTCGGGTCTACAGGTGGCGTAATTAATGAGAGGGCCAAACGTGCCGAGCCAAAGGTCTAACCAAAACCGAACTGACTTGCCGTTCCCCAAGCACCAACTTGTTTGTTTAAGGCCTTGTTTGGTAATCAACTGTTAGCTGTTAGCTGTTAGCTGATTGTATTAGCTGTTTTGACCAGCAGATTGCATTAGCTGTTTTGACCAGCTGATCGTGTTAGCGGTTTATAAAAACGTGTTTGGTAAAATTAACTTTTTTAATTAGCTGTTAACATGTAAAATTACTTATAAGGGCATTGACATACTTTATCATTCTAATTTATCTTGAACCTATAATTATTTAGGAAATAAAAATAATTAATATTTTAAATATTTATTAAAGTGATTTAAATATGATAAAAAAAATAAATAATAATAAAATGAAAATATTTCATAATTGAGTAAATAAGTTCATGTCATATAAACAAAGCCAACAAGAAGTAATACTAATAAAAAAATATAATTGTGACTCAATTGCAATATCCACTATTATAATTAAAAAGCAAAAAAAAAACAAAAAAAATAAAATTCGCTAAGAACGACGTCTGGATGCCATCAAACTTGAAGCTATAACATTACGAACATTTGCCATCTCCCGAGTCCTCATTTCCCCATCACCTTGTACAGAATTATTTTCAACATCTTGGAACTCATCAGAAGGTATGAATTCAGGATTCGCATCAATAACTCGAAAGCCCGGATCACCAATTCTGCTTCTTCTAATATAATTATGAAGTGCAAAACATGAACAAATGATTCTATTTTGATCCATTAACGAATATCTCGGCATTTTATGCAATATCTTCCATCGAGCCTTAAGAACACCAAAAGCCCTTTCAATGCAACTTCTTAAAGATGAATGAGCCCGATTAAAAACTTCTTGAGATCCCCTCGGGTTTGAACCACGAAACTCAGACTGATGATATCTTGTCTTGGTGTAAGGCGTTAAATAACCTTCTCTTTCTGGGTATCCTTTGTCTACCAAGTAATATTTACCTAAACGTACACAAGTTATACTAGAATTAGATTATATTGAATGCGTGTGCATGTGTGTGTGCGCATATGCAACAGTGCATATAAATGATAAGTACAAGATACCTGATGGAGGTTTCGGAAAATTGAGATTTGGATCATTGATCGTATCAAGGAAAATACGAGAATCATGTG